AATAAAACAATTGCATTTAGGAATAGAACCTGAAGGGAAATTTTGTTAGAGCAAACTAGGTATTTTTAGCCAGTCTATCTAGAATGAATGGAAATAAAGCAACAAAGATATGGAATAAAATTAATCATTGATATGTAAAACTTCAGAAATTACTTTAACTGAGATTTTTATACAGAAGCCAAGCTATAAGGACTTAGCAGGAGTACTGCATGCAGAACTATCACACATTAAGGTAGCATGAATGTATTTCTGTAAAGTAGACTCTTTCTGAATAAACCCCAAAAACTAAAATTGGGAAAGCAATGCTCCTGGAGAGCACAGGAGTTAAGCATTGACACAGCTTTATGTAGTTGCATGTTTCTTGTTAACAAACCTTCAAGCATGTGATCTATGTGTAAAGGTGGGGCAGTACAGGCATTTCCAGCTAGAGGGAAGATGCTAAAAGTTAAAGCAGAGAGAAGTGCAGTAGGTCCTCATGTTATCCATCCCTCCTATAGTAACCCCCCTCCCGAGAATCACTGTGTAACATGTGCTTGTAATTACAGACAGTAGGAGACCCAGTGAAGAACCAGTCAGAGTTTAGAGGCCAAGTTCTTATCTCTTTCCTGTGCCTATGTGTGTGGGATGAATTGAGTGTGTGTCAATCAGAGCCCAGCTCTCACAAGGAGCGAGGATTCCTTTCTTGCAAACCTGACGAGTGGAAGTTAAAAGCTGTTTTCCTTGCTTCAACACTTACATTTGCCAACAGCTGTTTCAACATTTATAAACACAATTCCCACTGGCTGCCAAATTATCATAAATTCATTTCTGCATATTTTTGAGTACTAGGCATAAAAATAATTACATCTGATTAAATCTACTTATGCTTTCACACCTTTCAAATGTATGGTAGATATGAATTGTTGCAATATATTATATCTAAACAAAAATTTCATGATGACTTCCAGGCAGATTATCTTCAGAAGGTTATAAAGCAATAATTTATTAGGTATGGTAAGGCCATGGTTTTTCACAGTTTCATTCCAGATAGAGTACACAGTGTCTGCTAAGTGACAGCACAACTCAGGACAACAGCACACTCTACGAGATTCAGATATTCTTCTGTGTTCAGCTTCATTTAAGTTAACTCTTTTAATATTATAGACACCTAGAAAAAATCTGTCTATAGGAGAAGGAGACCTTCAGAGTGCTGCTAAAAAATGCTGCTTCTCTACTGGATGTGTTTTCTCCCTCTGGAAATTGAAACTGTGCCTAGTATTGCTGAACACTTGCTCGTGCAGGAAAATGTGCATTTGACTTGGACAAATATGAAGTGTGTGTGGTGCTGGCAGGCACTGTGCTTGGGAGTGTGGAGCTGCAGAGACAGACTTTGCTTCTTCCCACTGAGCACGTAATGCCTTTCATCATATACTGTTTAACCTTACGCGTTCTGCCGCGGTCCTGGCTAACACTTCATTTTAAGTGTGCCAGCATTATTAATTCATTTGGTATTCACTGTAATAACACTGATCATAATTAACTCATTCTGTAGCCTTGTGAGTGGTTTAAGTGCTCACATGGAATTCTGCTGCAATTCAGCATTAATTAAGGTACCACCTAATTTTTGCACAGAAACAAGAGCGTGTGATCTGTCTCATGAGGTAACTCAACATCTCAGAAGGAGTGTATGGATCTCGTGAACATGTTGGGTATATTCTCTCTCTGAGGAAAATTGTATACACCATGTAGATAAATTATGAAACAGTGATATTCTCTAACATGCAATACACACATGCCTATTCTGTATGTCACTATGTATATTGCACTGCATTTAATAATGATAAACACATTTCTACTCTATAAAATGTGAGAAGAGCCAAGCTGCTTTTTAAGAATTTAAAAGAAAAGCTATAAAAGGAAATATCTTCAAATTTTAAAAATTCCCTCCTTTAAATTTTATAAAACTATATCCCATATATCCATATTGATATAGAGCAGCTGAAGCAATCATATAATGTCAAATTCCATGTATGAGTTTAACCAACCTTCTTGCTGCAAAGATATTGTGAACTAAATAATCTCCTTTAATTGAAAATAGGTGTAAAATTGTTATGCTTTTTTTAAGTACATTGTAAATCAGAAAATTAGAACACTGTAAAGTAAAAATGCAAGCTCCATTTCATAGCAACTTAGTAAAGTACAGATACAGCTACATTATTTCAATGCATCCCTTAAACTAATATTTTCAGGCATGATTAACTTTGTTGGAGAAAATTATTCTAGGCAAAATCTGGGCAAGTAATGGCTCAGCTTGCAAGCTGATTATCTCTGCTACAATTTCTTGAAAATTCTTTCAAAATTACTCACTTTTGCTCATTTTCAGATGATGGAGAGGGCAGCTTTATGTAAACTATATCTGTACACTATGTGGTCACACCAAATCAGATCATTGTCAACAAAGTATTTGGGTTGTGTGTTTTATCTTTTTTTGATATTCTTTGACTTGTGTGTCAATTTTTCATTTTGCTGTGTTAAACCCCACCTTGATAACAAAAGGGAAGTTTGAAAGCTAAAAGTAATGTCATATGATTTAGGCTGTTTTTGCCACTAGTTTGTGGACCGATAGCTTAATCATATTGCTTAATCTATCAGTCTGCAAAGACCTCGGAATGAATTTCTCTTGGTCTACATGAAGGAATCAAGGGAACTAAAAATAAACAGGATTCAGCCAGTAAATGTCTCAAAATAGTATTGATTACTTTTACAGTCCAAACATGTATTGTGGAACACTCTTTGTATTGGAAATCAATGACAAAATTTTAATTGACTTCCACAAAGCCAGCATATTTATGAAATTTAAGATTGAGGCTGTGCTTTATTTTTTAACCCACTGCTCTGCAAACTGCAGCTAGAATAGTGGTCTACTCTTCTTCAATGGTTAACTATGATTCTTATTTGTAAAAATGTGTTATATACTAAGTAAAAGAAGAATCCCAATATTCTGTACTATATTAATAGTAAGACAACAAATTTGTGATATTCAGAGAATACTGAGATTTGAGATTGCTTCTTAGAATTCACAATATTTTTTAAGTTAAAAAATATGAAAGACATTTTATTTTTGAACACAGAAAGACTAAGGGAATATGATCTTATTTTAGAAAAACCCACAATATTTGATTTAAAACTTCTTGAGCAGTAGATCTGTCACACTGTAGGGTGATGTCTTGCTTCAGAGAGTGCAGCCAAAGGTGTTTAGATGCTCATTAGGGAGAATTTCAGAAAGGTTAAGTGCAAGCATGCCCTGAATGCAGTTCCCTAACGTAAACAAGTGTGTCTTTCACTCTGTGTTTTCTATTTCGAGAGTTTGGGGTCTTCAGTTTCTAGAAACCCTACAATTCTTCATAATCTTGCTGGATTACATTGTCTGAATTTATTTAGGCAACAAACTCCTAAGAGGAAAATGAAGTTTGAGTGCCTTGCTGTTGCAATAGGCATTTTTTACCATGTCTAATGATCATTATCTCTTAAGTATTCCAAGATCAAGAGCATTGAAAACTCATTTGATTGAGACACTAGTACAGTTATTTCATTTAGTCTTGAATTTCTGTAGTGTTTCTTATGTGGAAGGAGAGGTAGATCACAAGTCATGCAGTTCAGCTCTCAGTTTGACCTTCCCAAGGGCCATTTGTGGCTCCATCATATGGAGTTCCATCTAGTCATTGCCTTGCAAATGCTCCAGGTGCAATTTCTATATTTTTTTTGGTGTTGTCTTATTATTTTAGTGAGAAAATTAATTTCCTTTCTCTCAAAGTTCTCTTACATGAAAAAATGTGAAGTATTTTTTCAGTCTCAAAAAGATTCAAAGAACACAGCAGTGATCCTGATGCTCCTTCTCTATGTGTTTTCCACTGTTATGCAGCGATATAGCAAAAAGCAGTAGAGGGGTATTAGGTATTTCTCCTTTTGCTCCTTGCTTACGAAAAGTAAGATTCAATTATTTTCTAACAAGAATTAGTTAGACTACATATTTTGAAAAACATGGCCGAGGTACTGATGCCAATAAAAAAAACTGTGTGTAATTGAGACACAAGTAGACAATGCAATCCAAAAATTGTATTTTCTCTTTTTAATCTGTAATGGATAAATATGTGAAAGCATGCAATAACTGATATTAAAAGGAAAAATAGAGTTAGAAGGAATAACACAGAACTGATTAACCCTGCAAAAACCTCCTACTAAGGTAGCATTTATACAGTGGGTTAGTCTCATGTTAATGAAACATTTAATTATGTTGGTTGTAAACCTCAGTATCAACACAAAAGGGGCATTCTTTCAAATTAAAAGGAATGAACATGAATACAACATTGTCACAAGTTTTTGCTTAATTTTTGATTTATTTAGTTTCTCTTCATTGGTTGAAGGGACTCATTTTTCTTCCAAATAGCTATAGTTTTTTTTTATTGTAATAATATTAAAAATACTAATAACAAAAAAAAAAAAAAAAAAAAAAAGATTATGCAGACTAGAAATCAAACTTATCCAGAGCATGAGCTACCACATCATGTAAATGGTAACTCAGAAGTTTTTTAAATCATTGAGAAGTTGCATCAATTAGATTGTACTAATTGCCAGTAACATATAGGATATAGCAGATATTAATAAGTAATAGTAGATTTAAATCAGATTATGAAGTAATAAAATGTAGACCAAAAAAATTCCTTTTGCAAGCTTTCCTTCTATGCACAATTTAAATAGATTGCTCTCTGAATCAAAATAAAAATACTATATAAATTAAATATAATCTTTGAAGAAACCAAGCTAGTACCTGAATGTACACTACAGTCTGTGCCTCATGGATATCCTTTAGCAGTCATAAAGCTTTCTCAATTCCTTTTGACTGAATCACATGACGTCTGGGTTCAGGATGGTGACATATATAAGCCAAACCTCTATTTCTCCTGCCTGTTTTAACATCTGGTCTCTTCATCCATGTCAGTTGAGGCAGGTCTCATATCTCAGATCTTGGCAGATCAGGAAGGATGTCTTGGCCCTGCAGCATTTAAGTATGTTCATAAGCACACATATGGAAATATAGGGCAGTGAATCTGGGCTCTATGAGGACCCACAGGAAGGTGAATTCTTTGTGACTTTCAAGAGCCTAAGGCTATAGCCTCAGCATATCACTGAGAAGTGTTGCATGGTATTTTTGACTTTAAAAAACACCAAATAAAGTATTGTTAGACCTTTATCACATTTTCTTTAAAAACTGTAAAGCTGGTGAGTGAAACAGAAAAATAGTGGAACTGTGAGAGAATCATGAAATAGTTGATGTTGGAAGAGCTCTCTGAAGATCATCTGTGCCAATCTCCTGCTCAGAGCAGAGGCAGCTCCAGCAGGCTCTTTAGGAAGACAAAATAGCAATTCTGAGCATAAGGGTAGCAGGTTTCCAGGACCATCCCCTCAGCTGCTTTATGACATCAGGCTACTCATTAGCTACTCTGTATCTCAGTGATCCCATCTGTGACAAAAATATATCAAATTCTAGCACAATTCCTAAATTTTCCCCATACTTTCTAGAAAAACTTCTTTCCAATAGGAATGGGAGATTCTTCTAAGATTATTTAGAAACCTGCTTAAACACTTTAAGACTACCTAAAACTTGTATTCTACACTTCAGCACTGTTAACTCCTCTCCTCACAAAGTGTAACATAAATTCAGCATAAATTCATCCATCCATCACTACTGGAGGAGACCTGAATAGATCCTGCTGACTTCCTGTAACCAGTTGAGAATAGGGAAGCAGATAATCTGAAAGAACTGGAAATTTTTTGATGGATGCTGTGAGTAACATTTCAAAAATAGTGTCAGCCAACATTCATTATGAGCCCACAATAACTACCCATTTAAGTACCATGCAAAAAGTAATGGAAGACGATAATTCCCATTGAACACCTTCAACATGCCCTCTGTCCTAGAGGAACGTGCCTTAATTTACACTGAAACTCGTTAGAAAAACACAAAAAACTTAAACCTCAACCCAAATCCTAAAAATAAAACCAACACCAACACCAGAAAAACATTTAAGGTTATGTACATCCACTTCAGAGGAGACTTCAGACATTTAATGCCAATGTTTAAGTTTCAGCTCCTGAGGAATGCAAGACCAACAAAGGAAACTATCGTGGTGTTTCAAATGCCCCTCACTATAAAAGGTCTCTGAATTAGGGTGAAAAGCATGAGGACTTTCCAAGGCTGTGCAGTTGAGGTTGTTACATCAACACTTCAGCTGGGGTTTGTGCTTCTACAGCAGATTTCCTCATTGTCTTCATTAAGTGAGCCTTTACTTGCTAGTCTCTCCACAGCAAATGCCTTTGGAGAGAGCACACAGACCCTGGGATCAGACTAGAGCATGTCAGAGGTGGGAAAACCCCTAAACTATGAATAAGGAGATCTTCACATCTTCTGCACCAACTGCTTCCCTCCAAGTAGCCACTCTTGTCCCCACACTCATCATGGTGGGTACAGCTCACAGGCACTATCTCCATTAATACTGTTTCCAAGAAGGAATGAGTTGATTTAAATTACAATAATTTCTTGCATCTCCACTTTGAGCTGCTACAAAGAACCAGAACAGGAATTGAGTTAAAGTCCTTGTTGGTAGTCTTTCTACTTTTCCCACCACTACAGCTGTCACCTCAGTGGATGAGAAAACTTAGAGATAGTGCAGTGTTCCAGATGCTATTTATTCAGAGGATTTGTTTTTGAAAAATGCTTAGTATCTATTTAATCTTTGTGCTTTTAGAAGACCAAGAGGTAAATGTGCTTTTTTTTTCTCTGATAATTAATATGAAATTTAAAAAGGGGAAAGGGAAATGGATGGTAAACTGCTCCATCACTCATCATTCCCCCTGTCTTCCACCCCCTCCCCTCCTCAAAAAAAAAGACTCCCAAACTATAGCACAAGTTTGAAAGAAGTTTTGAAAACAAGTTAATCATTTTGGGGTTGGGCTGAAGCAGTGCTTATGCACACTAGGAAATAAATGTGATAAACAAGATCTGGTTCTTCCTGTATGTTGCTATTGGTGATTACTTTGTATTTAAATGTTTCAAATATAGAGATCAGCCTTTCACAGAATCCAAATAGGAAATTCAGCCAAACTCAATGACTAACTGACCCCTGTTAGTCATATGTCCTCTCTTCAGCAAATTACTAATAAATGCTTGTAGGAGGAATGTCAGACAAGATTGCACATCAGTGCCATTAGTAACTCTGGATCGTCTTTCTTATTCCATGGTTGGATAAGAAATGCTTTGTCATTTTCAGGAGTCATGTAGAAGTGAATTTCATATTCATTTACACCTCTTAGCAGAGATAACATGGCAAGTAGCAAATGGATCATCCTTTCAGCTGTGTGCTCCTGAGGGTTCATTTATATTAATTCTGGCAGTCAAGCATGCAGTCAGATAAAACACCTCCTATTCCTATTCTGGTTTCATACGAAATTAAATACTGCCCAAACTTTAGGTCTGAATGTGTGTGGGCATAGATATACATATATGTACACAAGCATGGTATGCCTACTTTTTGTTCTATGTCATTTCAAATTCCCCATTATTAATTAAGCCCTTTGGTATCTCCCAGAAAAGGGTGAGCAGGGGCTTGAAAGTTCTCTGTTGCTATTTAGCAGGACTCCTCCATCATAGCTGGATAAATGTCTTTAGATGTTTAGAGATGCTATTAGGTACCCACTGGGATCTAAAGACATGACTCAGTGACACCAAAATGTAAGGTCATCACATGTTTAATCTACTTCAGATTTTTTTTTTTTTTAATCACATGCAACATACATCTCTGTTTAACCTTCAAAGCATCTTTTGTACACTTACACATTGCTCCCAAGTGTCTAGCACTGGCTATGCCTTCTGCTTACTGCCCTTTCAATATCATCTTGAAAAATATGACATTAAAAACCAAGTAGACTTTCTGTTAGTAATATTAAAGTTCATGAGACTTCAATTTTTATGTTCTGTAATTTAAAAATCTGAGCATATATTGCAATGTGCTTTCTTATCTTGTTCTTCAAAAAGATGAAATTTATCTTACATTACTACTATCACAATTGACTGCCTCCTTTATAGATGCGAAAGAATGGGTTGAAATAGCCATCAATAAGAAAATAGTTTAAAAATCTAGTTAAGTACAATGTAGCAATAACAATAAGTAGCAGATGCAGTAGCCAAGAATGTCACTCAATTGGTGTAGGATGCTTCAGAAAAGCAAGCATTTAAATTAGTTACACAGAGACAGAATATAGGTGTATGCTTTTGAGACAGTAGTGTAAAAAATAAATAGGTTTGATAGAAGAATAATTCAGAATGATTAATGAGATGCTGAGCTGAAAATAAACTGGAGCAAGATGTTGTCCCCTCATAGGAAGATTGTATGAGGGCTACAGAGCAACAGGGCTGTGGTGGTCCTTCAGAGGGGGAGGTGGCCACACAGTGAATCTGCAAATAAGTCATTCCTAGCATGTGGAGAAACCATGGCTAGAGAATAAGCTGCAGCATTTGGCCTAAAGCAATGATCAGGCCCTAGCCCCTGGGATCAGGGGGCACTATTCCTAGTCCTCTCACTGCTAGAGGGGACCCTACACCTGGGATAATTTTTCTTATTTAAACCAAATAAGGAAAAACTGACTTTTTAAAAAGGTAATTTGTTTTAACTTTCCTGACCTAAGCAGCAGGGACTGAGTTATGTTCTATTTGCAAGAGAGAATCTGAAGAGAAGCTGGTTTTGGTCAATCACTGTGCATTTCAGTCCTGGGTTTGTCTTAATCATACTGGGACAAATTTTACATGTGACTGCGCAAGTGCAGAAGCATAAGCAGATTATTCCAGCTGGGAGGTTAAAGGGGAATCGTACTTCCAAGCAGATACAGGATTTCCTTGGAGGGATCCACTTCATGAGTGTCTGGAAGGGAGGTGTCTCTCCTGTATCAGACTCAGTGGTGTTGCTTGTGGTTCTCAACACATGCAGCCAGCCAGCAAGGGAGAGCTGGGGCTTGAGCTGCTCATACCATCTCTTATTTATAGAATTAAGAGTTCCTACCTTTGTCTATCTCTGCCACACTGTTACTGATTTACCAAACAGGCCATAGAAGGGTTTGAGATACTTTGCATGTGTTAATGATCACTAATGTTTTACTGTTGCATTTATTCCTGTAGGGTCTACTTCAGCAAATCTAGTGTGCATAATATTTTTCATTCAACTGAGATATTATGCCTGGTAAACTTCTGAAATCTCCCTTCACATGGTAAAATAAAAGAATCTTTGTAGCCATCGTTAAATGCCTTCTCCACAATATTTATGCTGCAATCAGAACAAAGAAAATGGGTGCTTTTGGCAGGAAAAAAAAACAGTCTTAAAAAGACACAGGCTATTTTTGTTTTCTTACAAAGTATAAAATTCCTCAAAATTTACATAGTGTCACACAGCCTGCCATAGCTTATAAAAAAAATTATGCACTGCCTTTAGTTTTATTTGGAAAATTACACTGTGTTAACTCTTTGTGTCTTTGAGGGCACTTCTCTACATTGCACAGTAAAGCTTCTTCCAGACAGATGTGTGCCATGCACACGGCTCAGAGTAACGCTGTGTGGAGATAGTCACTCTGGAAAGGTTGGTTCAGATCATTTCATCAGCACAGGGGCTGCCAGGGGCTGGGAGCCAGACTGCTCCTGGCCTGGGAAGAGGAGAGCTCTGAATAATGGGAAACTTGCTGCCGCTGCTGCTGCTGCTGCTGCTGCTGCTGCTGCTGCTGCTGCTGCTGCTGCTGCTGCTGCTGCTGCTGCTGCTGCTGCTGCTGCTGGAGGAACGAAGCATGGCAGGAGTGAGGGAGGCTGCAAGGATGAAGCACATCTTTGATGTCTTTCTCAGGAGCATCAGCCAACTTGGTTTGTTTTTGTCTCTGGCATAAGTAGTGTAGGCAACAGAATAATTCTCAATGTAGCAATTAACTGCTTGACTTGTCTGTGCTCAATCACTTGATTTACTAAAACGTGCCAGCAACAGAGCTCACTGACTCCAAGAACAGGTCTACACAAACAGCCTTCTAGGCTTGAGATAGCCTGGCCAGTGCTTTCATGGGGATCTGTGCACCACACATCCTTGTATAGGTCAGACCTTCCCCCATACTACAAAACCATGCATCTTTTAACCAAAACCCAAAAAAAGACCTCTCTGTGAGCTTGGTGTTCAAAATGGGAAGCCTGAAGACAGCCTCCTAAGAAACGTTTTAAAAACTCATCTTCTTGATATCCCTAATTCAATTTAAACCTTCTATGAGGCAAAATTGTGAGACAACAAAGCAGACTCTAACTCTTAGATATTTTAATGAATTAATGAGCATCCTCCTGTAGACATTTGCTAGTCTTTCAAATAGCTAAAGCATAAGGTCAAGTGGTTTGTGACTACACTGTTACAAACCAATGATTTCCAATCTTTTTCCCAAAACAGAGTAACTTTTTAAGGACAGTCTCCCCTATAGCCAGTATTTATCTGAACAAGTATTCTTTCCCATATAAAATACATGGATGATCACTGCCTGTTTAAATTCCCATGATAAAGATGCCAAAAAGTATAGGTGAGAAATCCATAGTCTTAATTTATTGTCCTGTTTATTACAAAGGAGGAAGGAGACCACAAATGAGATGTCTCTGCTCAGAGCAAATGTGGTTGCAAGAATCAATCCTGCTTTGCACACAAAGGACTGAACTTCTGCTTAAAAGGCCATGTAGAAAATAACATTGGTTTGAGTATGCAAAGGAAACATTTGTAAAGGGAGGCATGATGTCTGCATCAAATATTTTCTTTGAAGGTATGTCTTGTTGGCAATGGTGGTAGATTCAAGTGGCATTAGCTGAAGTCTAATATTCACATCAAAGGAGTGTGTGGCAATAACCTCCTGTTTAGGGTGACTGAAGGTGGTATGAAGTGGATGTATTCAGCATGCATATAGCCATTTATTGTAAAGTATAGAGTAATGGGAAAGATCCTCAGGACCATCTCCTTGCTCGTCAGTGTAGCCTTAGGCAGTGGAATCCAAATCAGGAATAACAGGCACAAAATGTAGAATAACTAGCTGAGTTTCCCCGGTAAGACTACCAGAAGCAAACCATGTTATGGCAATGTTGTTCTCCAGTCTGTCAGCTTCACCATACATCGCTAAGACCTATTCCATAGAGAAAAATGAAATAAAAAATATTTTTATAAATGCAGAACTTGATCAAAATATAAAGAGTCACAGATTCAAAGATTTCATGCCTGTCCTAACCAACATATTGCAACATTTTCAGTTTCTCACTGATTTCATAAATCCAGTGCTCATCAGAACTTAGCAACAAAAAACTTAAAAGATTAATGTCTTTCATTCAAGTGGCTTGTGAGGCAGATGGTCCCAAAATTTTTATATATGAAGAGCCATTAAAAAAGTGCTGTTGTATTTTAACATCATTCATTACCTAATTTTAAATATTGAGTGACTGTATTCTAAAGTCAGAAATGAAAAAATCTGATCAAAACTGCATCTGTTGCCAAATCTCTTTGTTAGGGATATGCACATAGGAACTCACCTGCTGGCAGCAGGAACTTAGTCACTGAATATGAAAGAAAATGAGTGCAGCAAATGCAAACAAATGTCTCATCTAGGTCATTAGCTAAAGAGGTCATTTTAGAAAAATAATCTTTATGTGTGTTATCAAGAAATCGCTCAGATTTAAAATGAGCAATTACCGGAAAATATCCAGTGAAAGGCAGAGTAATTCCCCTAGCTGTCAGAGACTACTGGCTGTTCATACCAGCCTTCATTCTAGACCTCTCTTTTAATATATTTTCAAATAAATTCTTCGTAAGACCTCCAAGGCTCATGAAGATGACTGAAGTGTGATAGACTGATTAGTGTCTTGCCTCCAACTTTTCATCAGTCAGCAGTTTCCTAGAATTTCTCTGTAATCTTTAGGACTATGAGTCTGGATTTGGAGATTTATTTTTCTCTCTTTGGCATTTCCAAAGCTGGGTATCTAAGTCTGCCCTTGTCACCCTTAACCCTTTCTACAATTAAGCAGGAGTAAAAGGCGATTCCAATGGGGATTTGCTCCACCTTAACGAAAATATTTAAATCGTGTGAAATAAATCCCTTCTGTGAACACTGCTCCTCTTTATCTTCTCTAGCATTAGAGGAAATGAGGAACAATTGTTGTGGACTTCAGCATCTGTCTCTGAGACATCTACAGTCAGATGAGATGAATCTTAACTTGCAAGAGAAATATTTGTCCCAATACCAGCTGAAGTTACTACACAATGTACTGCTTTGGGGACCTGGTGGTGTCTGGTAAAAATTACTAGGAACCAGAACAAAAACCCTGGGTTCTCATATTTGTATTGTAATATTTGTACTTGTATTTGAATCACTGTGTACTTTGTTGCAGACTACCTGCCCACCAAAGACAGCTGGGAAAAGGATCGTGCATGGAGCAGCTATGCCAGCCTGTGTTTGTTTTCTCTGCACCAGCCCTTATGGCAAACAGAAAATGTGGTAGGGGATGATCCCAGATTCTTTTGAAAAAATCAAAACACAAACAGAGGTAAAAAAACTGTTTGAAAAATGGAACCCTGGTCAAAACCTGAACTAAACTCTGATTTTGTTTTTGTTTCTGCAGATCATGGCCAGGACAGAGATGGTGGGATGAATGCTTCCCAGAGCACACACAGTTGTACATACAGACAGCTTTGCAAAGTGGAAGAAAGTGATCCCTACCTCTGTGCCCTGGGTTCTCTCCTGCTTCAAATTCTTGCAGCTTATGAGTGTTTGTTATCAGTTACATTACCAAAACAAGCACTGCAATTACTTCTTTATATATCAATAAAGACATGTCTGTACTACCTAAAAGCAGAATTGCCAGTATTCCCTGTTGGCATGATGTCTGACATCAAGTGGGGCAATAACCACACAGAAACAGAGGAAATAAAAAGAATCTTTTTTTAATAAAAGACATTGTACTAGAGTTGGGGAGATTTAAATGAAAGGAATATTTTTCAATCCAAGAAGAGCCGCTACACAACCAGCCCATTTTTTGCTGTACTTTTTGCCTTGCAGTCCATTAATGATTTGGCATGCTAGTTTCAAGAGAAAAGGGGGATCTCAATGGGAGAACAGGTCATAAGTGTGATAAGTGTGCTGGGTGCTGCAGATATTAACCTCTTCCTTAAATATGGGAAGAGCAAAATTCATGCAATGTGTGTGAATTAGAAACAACAACACAGTGCTAGGGTAGCAGGACCTTTTCTACCTTTTGTGTAACAGAAAGGAATTACCTCAGAAGAGACTTAACCTGCAGTCCATGCTCAGGGAATATTCACTCCAAAATTTGAACATGTGGAGGCATCCAAAAAGAGAAGGGGTAGAGCTGTGATTTTGGGCAAACATGGGGTTCAAACCAGGGTTTTACTAAGGGTGATAGACCTCTCACTCTAGTCTTTTTCTGAACACATGTTTGAGTGGTTTATTTTAGATTTACATCTGCTCTATATTTTTATAAAAAAGAAATCCTTCACAATGGTGGTGGTGATTTTTTTTTTTATGAAAGGATATGGTTAATAATAATGGTAAGTGTTAATAAATTCAGTCAACTCCTGTGCAACGGACATAATGCTCTTGGCATCCCTGCAAGAAACAAAGCAGAACAATTATGAGTCATCAAATGTATTTGTCAGAGGATTTTGTGTGGTAAAAAAAAGCCTGTTCATGTTAGCATAGTGCTGAAAGACAAGGAGTGAATTATAGCTTGGAAAGTGATGGGATAGATATAAAATCCAAGGGTCCAGAGGCCAACTGACTATATAGACTCAGCTGGAGACAGAAAATACATGTTATGTATTTTTTCAATGGATTCTTCCATTTATCCTGTTAAGAAGTAGTGACTCCCCAAATCAAATGTGAGTTAGGCTAGAATTTTAATCATACTAGAAATGTTGCCACTGCAATTGGTGTTTGAAGCTCTTCTAACTGATAGTTATGCTATTTGTTCTACTGTGAATGCAGAGAACCAGCGACACAGAAACAGGAGCTGTGGATAACAGGAGAGGCACAGTGGCATGCAGGCAACTCTGTGAGAAGTTCCTGATGAAGTGGTGCATATGTGTCCTCTTTTTGTGGATGCTGGTGTCAAGGGGAATCCTGGACCTGTTCTGATAACCTAGAGTTTACAAGCAGCATTCTCAGAAACGTTAAATTTCCTTTTGTCATTGCCCTGATAAGGCTCTCTAAAGGTACAGGCCGATGAGAATCTGTGTGTTGGCATTCTAATACTAGTTACTAGGAATAATTTAGGGAAATTACTCAATTCTTTATGGTATAGTGGAAGAACTTTATTACTCTCTTTTATATTTTTCTAGGAAAAGAAATGTGTCTGCAATTGGAGATTTTTTTCTTATTACAATGAAGATGTGAAATAAGCAAAAAGCAGTTTTGTATGTACCTTCAGGGTTTGAATTTAAGATAACTAATGAAGAATTTGAAAACACCTGGATTGATTTTCTTCAGACATGTAAAGGTACAATTGAACATGCTGCTGTGATATAAATGGAATAATATTAAGAGTTTTTTAAAAATGCATGGTTGTTAGTATTTTTTATAATCCATTGAAATCTGATTTGCCATTTCCAAACATTTTACAGTACCTCCAGTTGTGCAGGAGCTGAAGTGTTCAATGTAAGGACGTCACCAAACTTGAATTTTCTCACTGTGGTGGAGGTTGGATACAACTGGACAATAAGCTGGGAATGGCCATGGAGGGAACTGAAGCCTTTTCAAAAGAGGACTGGATGAAAAGCTCATGAAACAAATCCTAAATAATTTGTCTTCAGCTCTGTCTCTCTCTATATATATCTATATATAATAAACGGATACAAATTTCACCTTCTCCTTTGTAAACATGCATGGTCTCTGGAGCTCCTTCATAATCTTTCACTTGAGTGGTTGGATGGATGAGTGGTGTGGTGATGGCATCAGCCAAAATCACCAGTGCTGAGTTAACACTCGACTTTCACGTGCAGATTTGACTTCCTTCAATGAGAACACATGCCATGCAGTCACATTCTGATTTTGCTTCTGACAGTGTAAATTACCAGACCTGAAGGTACTCCTTGCTAAATATAGTGTCTGGCAAGAATATGATTCTACTTGCAAAAATTAAAATTCGAATAAAGACCAAAACATGTTGTTAATAATCTTCTCAAAGGTAAAGAAAACTCCAGCATGCCTAAATATAAGCAGAGCAGCAATTTTAAAAACCTTATTTGTAGTAAAACGTTAAATAACAATTTTAGTGCTAAAAATGTAATGATTTATCAGACTAATTCAGGTATTTTTCAGTACTTAAAATCACATAATTTTTTGTTCAAATTGCCAAATATGCATAAATATGATACTTCAAAATTTATAATAGTAGAAAGATTACTAAACTTTCTGGTGCAAATACTTTACCTCAAAAAAAAAAAAAAAAAAAAAAAAAAAAAAAAAACCAAAACAGGGAAGAAAGGTCAGCAGCACCTAACTGTTTTTTCAAAGAAATAATAAATACAAACATTCTGCACAATAGTACAGTAGTAGCAGATGTGATGTTATCAGGATTTGACAGTATTTTCACATAAATTATTGTGTAAGCATAGTTAATAATTATGTACAGGTGGTCAGCCACCTGTTTAATTCAGTTTCAAGCTGATTTACACAGCTTTTAAGGTAAACAATCCCCCTCCCTCCAAAATTACAGTTTTGCCTGTGTATCAACTAATGTGGACAATTTTATTTCCCTTCACTTCCCACCACCCTGAAAAAACACGAGAGAAAGTTGCAGTTCTACTCCCTCTTTACAGCCTGATTTTTGCTGCCAAGTTGTAAGAAGTGCCATTATACAGGTAGTAACAGATGGTTCCAGCCCCTCCAAAATGAATTTTTACTTACTATGTGAACAGTGGTGATCTCATCACTTGTGCTTCTCCACTGTGCCTCTAGCTCCGTGTTTCTGGTAGTACACTGTGACCTGTGAGAAAGACGAGCCCCACTTGACAAGCAAAATCTCCTCCTCTGTAGGCCTTATGAAACCCAAATGCTTTTAACATAAAAATCCTGGTTATTGCTTGGGTAGCCCTGGCAATTAGCATATGGAAGTTGTGTAAGAAATGCTTACAGCTTTGCAGCAAGATGAAAATAAAGAAGCAAGCTCAGCATGCCTGCAGGTTTGGATCTCAGCATCAACGAGTTCAGTGCATAGTTATGCTTGTGCTAATATGTGAGGAGAAATTATTTTTCACCCTACTTTTGGACAGATTAGATCTGCATTTCGGTCTATTTTTTTCATCTTGTTATCTGATTGAACTCTGGAATAGTGATTGTACCCTGGAATAGTTTAGCACTGTCACTGACCCTCCTTGTTTTGTTAGGGTTTTTTGTTCTTTTTTTTTTTTTTTTTTTAGAATTCTTTTCCCTTAACTTGAGGTGAAGGTCAAAAATGGATAAACAGACCCTGTTCCTAACAGGTATACTGAAATCTATCAAAATATCCAGAGAACTGTTAATATTATTAAGCCTCTTCTGAATTGATTACTACATATCCTCTACTTGTTTTACGGCTATCAACAGTCTTTTTAACTTGTGCCCTGAGTATAAGGGAGAACTGGGAGGTACATTTCAGGGCTACGGGAGAGATCCACATTCTACAATGTACCCCAGCCTCTACTTTATCTCAGCAGCACATTTTTAATTTATTGCCATCATCTCTAATTGTTACCATTACCCAAACTCATCCCTGCATTTACCAGCTCAGGTGGCTGCAGCTTGCCCATCCTTGAAGCTGGTCTTCACAGTTCACTTGCTGGTGGGGGCTTCAAAGGGCCAAAATATTCCCCTTCTTTTCATCTCTGAAATCTTCCTCTGGCACTGAAATGAAAAATATAAAACTCAACAAAAGGAGAGTCAAGGCACATTTTCCCTGGTCCCTTATCCAATTTAAAAATCTGCCGAGGTAGGCATGGTAAAAGTGCAACTTCGTAAAGGTTGTGAAAGACTTTTTTTTTGCTGTGGGTCTCTATTAACATGTAACAGAAGATGAGTCCTTCCTTTAGAGTTGGATGTTGCACTGCTGACATAGACTAAGAGAAAGAAAAAAGCATCCATCTGTTGATTTAATGCACATATGGAAAGAAAAAAAACCACATTTGCTATTCAGTTTTATAACACTGGCCCACATGTGGAAGGTGATGGTATGGGGTCTTTGGGGAACAGGGTGAAGATGTGACAATTTGCAATATAATGCTGTTTGGACATGAGCTTTACCTCTCTGCCCACCATCCAAACTACCTGTGTGGCTGGGAGCTGGCAGGAAAAACACAAGTCTCTCACAATACGGGAAAAATTTGGCAGAAACATGAAATGAAGTGGTTGACAGAATTACAGGAATTACAGAATTACAGATGTTTTAGTATTCCTCATTCGGGTTTTGGGGTAGGAATACGGACAACATGTGATTAAGGAATACATCCAGTGTCTGAATGATGGGCTGATCTAAAAGGCTTTTGCTGATGCAAAGTGGTGAATGAGTGGTGGTGACAAGTACATTTGTCTTCTGTTTGCTTGTTTAGTTTCCTAGAGGGTCCCTAAGGGTTATGTCTGCCTGATATTTTAAGAGTTCATCCAGAACTCTTCATCTCCACGTAACCAAGAGCAGATATTGGGTGTCACCTGGACTTTTGAGCTTATTCCCCAGGAAGGTGGTAATAGCAGCAATTCGTTTGCATGGGATTGAACAAAGGTAGAATTTTACTTGAGTGTTTTGTTGTTTTGCAAAGAGTCTGAAATTAATTTTCATGGTTAGAACTGGATGTAAGCACCTTAGGTTAGTGTATAGGTAACAGGGGTTGCCTATTTTATTGCAAGCTGTTAGCCCTGTAGAGAGGGTACAAGATTTTTTTGATTGTACCTGACTATCATCTTAATGTGTCGTTTACCTTACTGCTTCTCCATCACTGCTCCCTGTCCAAATATTAGCAGGTGTGTTTATGCAATTATAAATACAGCACCGCAGATGATGTTCATGGCAGTGGTCACTTAATGAGGGAAGTTATTTAATTGAAATAATGAATCTGAGTAAGTTCCTACTCTGATGCGATCTGACAAAAATGATCATAGGATAAAATTGCTGCTTGCTGATCCCCACCTATCTTACATCTCAACTTGCTGCAAGATTGAGGCAAACTGCACCAATTTACTGCTCCCAACTGCCTGATAATGGACACTTTGCTGTGCACTCTCCCTTCATTACAGCACAGGTCATGGCTGTTAACAGGGCTCTTGCCACTTTTGACAGATAGTCACTACCAAGATGAATGGCACTAGCCACATGACCACTTAGTACTATGCTTTTCCTCTCTAGCACCTTTAAAGCACTTATATTTTTTAAAAACTCACTTCATCCTTTAACTGTTTATTAACTAGGAGAATCAATAGGAATCTGCTGAAACTGAACTCATGCAATTCTTCTAAACTTAATTGGGCGCATCACTATGAATATATCTGGGCATTTGTTGAATGCCAGTAGTGAGAGATTCATTTAAGCATTTATTTTAAATTCCTTAAGGCCTTTCAGACAATTTGCTCAGATTTTCTGTGTGTACTCTAGTGCCAGGTTTTACAACGATTAAAGGTGTAAGAGCTCCAAAGACTGAATCATAATACTAATTGCCAAATTTTTGGCCATTTTAATGAAAATATTTGTGCTTGAATTTATGGCTTCTTGAAATGCAAAGTATTTATATTTTTCATATTTCCTATGTCTGCTTTTAACACTGTCATCCTAAATATTAACGATTTTCTTTTTAGCAAATTTATGTTTTACTAACAAACGTGGGAAAGCATACTTTAAGCATGCAGATGCCAAGCATTTAACAATTAAGTTGCTTAGGTGCATTCAGTTGGCTAAGAAAAATTTTTTCTGAGACAGTGCAAGGCACAGTTTGTATTTTTGGTTAGGTCACTGCATTACATGACAAATCAGTATACAGCATTTATTTTCAAAAACAATAGGAGTGATTAGACAGAGAAAGTTTTTTAATAACATGTATGCCTGTGCTTTTTTTGCTAATGCTAATTTTATTGAAATCACCCAGAATCCATAGTTATGGAAATCCAAAATTTGTTCTTTGTATCAACCAGGATGCTTTATTCCTGGCGTGGAGTGGGCCAGGAATAGAAGCTAACAAAAGAGTGATCAGCCGAAAGAGGATTTTTATGCTGAAGGTCCTACAAAAAGTCTTCATGGTAGTGGTGATAGAGTGAAAGGACTTTCTTGAACCAAAACCATCAGTTGGTTGGTAAGCATATGAGAGGTAATGGGTGTGCCAGGAATATCAAGCTACTTTCTAACAACCAGATATAAAAATTTTTGTGAAACTTAGATTTTATTACAATTCTCATGGAAATTCTCTGACCAGTTTTAGGTTACTGCACCTATGAGCACCGTTTTAGGCAGTAGCAAACAAGAAACTGCACCTAATTTGCACACATATGTTGATGAGCCTTGAATGAATTGAGAAGCACTCAGTTCCTTTAGGCTTTTTGGCAGATGGATGGAAAACAGGCAGGAATGTGAGAGAAGACCAATGCATTATGCAGTTTGACGATAATTTTTTTTCTTTTTGTGATATCTGTTTTCCACTTCTTTGTTCAGCCTATGTATGTATCTCTGTCTTCCGATTTTCTGTTGTGCTTCCTCCTGTACAACTAGAGTTGAGATAGAGTTGAGACCCCAAAAAGAACATACTGTTACACTTGTGCAGCCAAGGAAAGGAAGCTCCTCTTTTTTTTTCTTCTTCTCTCCTTTCTCCAAATTTGAAGGAATAAACAGAAGGCTGGGAACTTAAGG